GTGATCAGGGGTCTCCCAGCCGCGCTAGCGCGAAGCGTTGTCCAGACTACCGGCGGTGAGGACCCGCGTGCTGTATATGCAGCGCGGGTGAGTCCGGGTGCGTTGGTGTTGCGATGAAGTGCCACGAAGCGCTACTTCCTGCTCCCAGCTCACCACCTCGCCTTCTCTGCCGCTCTCCTGGCCCAGGCCTATCGGTAGCAGGCCCGAGCTGCCCCAAACTGCACTTATATCGGGTCCACAAGCTCACACCGGCTCGTGATGCCGCGAAGAGGGCTCGAGAATGTCTCCGGTGGACCCCATCCGAGGCGATTGCGAGGGCATTCCGGAGGTCATTATCGGCGCCATCGACCGTGATATGTCTCGTCCCGCAGCCCTCATGCACCGAACGGATGCATGCAGTCATAATATGTAGGCCTTGTCTCCCGAAGTTTTGAGCAATAGCCGCAAACAACGCTTTGCAGACTTATCTAGATACGTACGGGTTGCCGCCTGAGTGTGCTCACTCACTCCTTCCTCAGTCAGACTGTCGCTCACTCACTCGCACCAGTGTGCTCAGACCTCACCCACAGCCACACACCTTCAACGTGATTTTCGCACACGGAACCCACACATTGGTCACGCGCGGGCGGGGGTCCCAGGACAGCTCGCACGACGCACGTCGCAGCTTGTTGTTCCCCCAAAACAATCAGGCCACAAGCGCTGTGGCCGAGCGACAGCGAATAAATAAATAAATAAAAACGGACACCTTTACTGTGAGATGGGTAAAAAGGAACAGGTCCCCGCCCTTGCGATCTTTGTGCAGGGTTCTTTGTGGGTGTGGTCGGCGACTAGCCGGGGGTCGTCCTCCCGATGCGCGATGGGGAGACTAGCACTAGCCGTCGTCCACATGGATTGGTCCCTCGGGTCCCTGCTGCTCCTAATGCTAATCTCTTCGTACATCCTCGGCTGCTGATATCTCCGCAAAATCCCCTGTTCCCTCCCTCGTCTCGCCCTGCGCGTCTGCTCCGCCTGCGCCTCCCTATAGCCGCCTCCCCCCGTCGTTTAACCGTCGTCTGCGGTGGCTGCCGGCTCTGCCCTGCGTCGTCTCTGGCGACGGGTCCTCCATAGACCGTCGGTTGAGGATGAGGTCGGTATCGAGATTGATATTTTTTTACAGAACACCGACATCCTCTATTCGCTCACTATCTCTCGTGTGCTAGCCCCTGCGTGCTGCGAGCGTCGCACCGCATCTTGTGCCCCGCCCCTCCCCCGCCCCTCCATGTGCTATGAACCGTGTGCTAAGAAGGAGCGCGCTCTGCGATGTATGCCCGTCTCCCAACTAGGGGAGATGCCATCTCACGCCCATCCTCTCTATGACGCGCGTCCTCACCCCTAGCCTCACCCTCTATGACGAGTCCTCATCCTCGTCTGCGCCCTCCGCCTCTCCGCCCGCGTACTCCTCGTCCTCGTCCTCCTCCGCCTCGTTGCCGTCGCCGCCTCCGCCGAGAAGGCGCGCCTGGCCGCCCGCCTCCAGCCCGCCGCCCTCGAGCGCGGCGTGCGCATCGTGCCGCGACTCGAGCAACGAAATGAGCTCCTCAGAGCCGGCTCCGTCGGGCGGGACTAGCCCGTGAGCCGCGCAGACCGCCCGCAGCTGCGGCACGCTCATCGCGTGCAGATTGGCAGGCGCGCTCTCCGCAGACATGTGCGCCGAAACGCCTGCTTCGCCGGCCTGCGCGGCAGCGAGGCGCGCCAGCTTCTCCTCACGCCCGCCGCCCGTGCACACGCCGCGCTCGCCACACGCAGCGTCGAGCTGCTTGTCGGTGAGAAGCCTACGCGCGCGAGAGGCAGAGTCAGCACGCCAAGCGAGGCGGCGCCGTGAGAGGGGACAGCGACGCACCAAGCGGACTGGGCGGTGCTGCCGAGCAAAGCCCACGCAGCGGCGTTCTGCACCTCCTCATCGGCGGCGGCCGCCTCGGCGCGCGCCTCGAGCGGCGCCGCCTTCTTCGCTTGCCGCCGCCGCCACTTTGCCTGCGCCGCGGCGTCGGTGCAGCCGCGCAAGTGCGCCGCTCGCTCCTTGTCGTCGCCGTCGGCGGGGCTCGCCTGTTCACGTCGCTCCGCCGTGAAGAGCACTCCTCCTCTGCCTCGCCAGCAAGATGGCTTGCCAGCAAGATGGCTTGCCAGCAAGATGGCTTGGGCGCTCGCCTTGTCCGGCGCGAAGCCGCAGCGAGGGCATGCGTCGGTGAGGCCGAGGACGAAGAGGCGCTCGGCCTGCCACGAGATGTGGGGAGATGTGGGGAGATGTGGGGAGATGTGGGGAGATGTGGGGAGATGTGGGGAGATGTGGGGAGATGTGGGGAGATATGGGGAGATATGCGCTCGGCCTGCCGCGAGATGAGCCGCAGTGAGCCGAGGTGGGGGTGGGGCCGAGGTTGGGCCGACCACGTGAGGAGCGGCAGCGGTGCCTGCCGCCCCCGCTGATCCTCGGTCAGGACGGGCTCCGCGCGGCGGGCGAGCCGTGTCGCCTGCGCCTGCCGCGCCTGCTGCCGCGCCTTTTGGCGGGAGAGCACCTCCTCGCGGAGGGCGGCTTCGATGCGCGGGCCGACGGGGTAGAGCTTGAAGCCAAAGACGCCTACTCTCGCGTGATCTCGCGTGATCTCGCGTGATCTCGGGCCGACGGGGCAGAGCTCGGAGCCCGCGGAGACGCCGTCGCACGATCCGCACAGCTTCTGGTTGTGGAACTCGGAGGGGTGGTAGTCGATCCGCGCCTGGTGTGGCGAGGAGCTCACGTCACGAGGTCGGTATTTTGTGCTTGAGAGGGGCGAGGCGAGGGGCGAGAGAGGGCCAAGCCGACTCGAGGACAGCCGCAGGACAGGGCGGCGGCGGCGGCGGCGGCGGCGGCGGCGGCGGCGGCGGCGGCGGCGGCGCCTTCAGCGCCTCCAAGGCGCGCAGGACCCCCTGCAACTGCTCCTTCGGGCCTGAGACACCTGAGACAAGATGCGACCGCTGCGCCTAGACCACCTTCTGGTCACCCCATCCTCTTTGCGCCCGCTAATCGTCCGCCGAGCTCATCGCCGAGGAGCAGCCGATCATGACTGCAGTGTGCTCCTGGACTGGCGTGAGCTGCTGTGAGCTGCTCCCTGCAGAGGAGAAGCTCGTCGGGGTGCCTCGCAAGCCCGAGGTACGCCTTTGAAGAATAACATTCTTGTTATGATTGTTATCACTACTGCCTCGCAAGCCCGAGGTGCGCCTTTCGCTGCGTGGCATACGGAGAGTCGCAGCTGACGGCCACGCCTGCAGGCGCAGCGCGAGGCGCGAGGCTTAGCAGCGCAAGGGCGCCGCGCTCCCCGAGTGCAGGCAGCGACGGCACCGCACACGGAGAGCACGCCCTCCGGGTCGTTGCGCTTGCTCGCGGCCAGCACCGCCCGCGCCATCGCAACCGCCAGCCCCGGGTCGTACTCCTCCTCCTCCTCCTCCTCCTCGCCGCCACCGACGCTCTCCGAAGCGTTCGCCTTCGCCGGTGGCTTCCCCGCCGCCGCCCCCCGCCGCCTTGCGGCAAGCGGCCGGCCCTCCTCCGAGTCGGAGCCGGCGCCTCCCTCTGCGCCGCCCGCCCCTCCCTCGCCCCTCCCTCCCTCGCCAGCCTGCTGCGGGTCGCCTCGCGCGCGCTTCTTTGCGCGTGCGGCGAGTGGCCGCCCCTCCTCCTCGTCCGAGTCCTCCTCCGCCGGCGCCGACGCTCCTCCCGCCCCTGTCGGCGCCTCTGCTGGAGCCGCCTCTTCCGCCGCCGCCGCGTCGGCAGCCGCCCGCTCCTCAAACGGCCGGCGCTCATTGTCAGGGAGGGCGGCAAAGGCGGCCTCCATGATCTGAACCAGCTCTCGAGGGCCCACCGTTGGATTCGACTCCGCGGTCTGACTCCGACTTGCCCGCTTGTAATAGTAAAGCGCGTCCTTGCACAACGTCGTGCGCGGCGGCTGCGGCTGCTCCTGCTCCTGCGGCGCTGCAGCCGGCGGAATCTTGCCCACCACCCACGTCGGGCGGGTTCCGTTCATCTGCTCGGCCTGGACGACGCCGCCGGTGGGGTGGAGCGCCCACAGCACCTTGTTGACATCCTTGTGAGTCACTCGGACTGGATTGGGATCTCTCTGATTGGGACGCAGCGCCGAGTCGCCGTTGATGATGTCCGCCAGCTCCTGCTTGTCGAGCGGGCCCGTTGCCGCACGAAGGGCGGAGAGAACGCCGGCGGCGACGCCAGCGTCGTACGAGGCCATATCGGCGGCGACGCGTAGCGCGTAACCGCCGGGGCGGGCGCCTGGGATCTGAGCCCGAACCGGCACTGGCAACTGCAGACGACCTTCGCGCGCGATTCCCTGATATCTTACCTACCCGGGTACCGGGAAAGGCCTCGAACCCGGGCGTCGCTGTTTTGAGCGTCATTTTGACAAGCAGACGGTTCCTATCCTCGCGCACTACGAGCCGTCGGGTGCCGTCAAGCGCGTCGACGCAAACAAGGCGCGCGCCGAGGTCTGGGCCGCCATCGAGTCGTCTTTGCCCACGGCGGTCGCAAAGTAACGCCGCTGCGTCGGCGATCTGGCCACGACGGCCGCGCCACCACCCAACGTGTGTAAGCGTGTGAGTGCTCGCACTGCTCTGACACTGTGCGCGCATGTCCGACCGATGTCCCCGCGCCGGTATGGTTGATATGTACGACGTGGGGTTTTGGTTGATATGTACCACGCGCGATACATGTCAGCTCCGAGCGCTAGTAGTGGTAGCACATGGGAAAGGTAGTCTCGCCCGGCACGCCCACCGACCGCCGCCTTGCGCCCGATCGCGTTGAAGAAACGAGCAACGTCCGTGCCCGTCATGTGGGACCGCTTCTCCTCATCAAACACGCTCACCCGAGCGCCCGTGTGCAGACGTAGTACGACTCCATCACCCCGAGCATGGACTCCTCCTTTCGCAGGTAAGAAGCCGCCCCCGTGTACTGCTCGAGCTGCTGCGTCTCCCAGTGCACGAGCACGTCCACTCGCGCCCGCTCGAACACTCCCTGCGCGGCTCGCGGCACCAGCGACGTGCCAGCACCGAGGGCGTTCAGCGATCTGCCAGCGTACTCCTTCGCACGTTGCCTGCGGCGTGCCGCCTCGCGCCCTTCACTGTCCGCATCTCGGAGCTGCTCCTTCTCGCCACCACAGTTCCAGCAACTCGTCGCCCGTGCATCGTTCCGCGTCTCGCGCCGGCAGTAGATGCACTGCCAGTGGGTGAGGCGCCGATCCATCCGCCTCGACTTGCTTGCTCGCGTCGGCCCGACGTCGACCCTGCGCTTGTCTTGTGTGATCGCGCCAGCCTCCACAGCGACATCCGCAGGTTGTGTCCCGCCGCCGAACTCCCTGCCTATCCCGTGGAGCTGCCAGCCGATCGGCTGCAACGGCCCGGTGTACATCACCACGTCGCCGACCGGCGCGGACAGCGGCTGCAGTATCACCACCGGCGTGATCGTTCCTCGCGAAGTCGTCGACAGCCGAGGTCTCGCGAGCCATTCGTCGGTTCCCTGCGGGAGCCGCTCCTCGATTCGTTGCGTCTCCGCTCGGTCGTCCATCGCCTCGGGTAGCGTTCGGTCGCCAGCTCTCCAGGAGGGGTCCTAACAAACACGGTACAGGATCGAGGTGCACGCTGCTGAGGGACCCCAGAGGGTAGATCGAGCAGTCAGTGTCGTCCCCCCTCTCCATCATCTCCCTGGGAGACGTCGGCGGCGATGGCGGTGTGACCGATCGAGCTACAAGAGGAGCTTGTTCGGCAGGATCCGGGTTAGCCTGTGCACTGCCTCACTGGGCCTGAGATCACTCGACGCTTCCCGTCACCGTCTCGGGTTTGTGTGGGATCGAACCACTCCGGGATGGGCAAGCCCATCAATTTTCACTGTGTTTCTCCCCTGCACCTTTGCTTGAGCACTTGAGCACTGGATAGGGTCGGTTCCGCATGGTACGGGACCCCTCGATCGTCGGCTTCCGAGTCGCTCAAGGTCAAGCGACAGCGAATGGCAATCGATCCGGGTGCTGGACGCCGCTTCATGAGCTGAGGGAGGGTGTAGAGGATGTAGAGTGTAGAGCGCTGTAGAGCTGTAGAGCTGTAGAGTGCTGGAGAGCGCTGTAGCGCTGTAGAGCTCTACATCCGCCGCGGGACGAACTGCGTGCGTTGTAGAGCGCTGCAGAGGCGCTCTACAACGTGAAATCTCTACAACAAACTCTACACGTACATCAAAAGCGGCGAACGAGGCACGGTCGCTCTCCGACATGAGGCGCGTTGCACTTGCCAGTGCTGCCCTGGCCTTCTGTCTGCCCGCCCAATGGGTGGCAGATGCCTCTGCTGCTGTGGCATGCCTCACGGCTGCGACTGGCCGGCGCCTCGGCACGTCAGCTCGGCTCGGCGTAGCGATAGTGGCCAGCGCAACTCACCTGGACTCAACGCTCAGCCAGGAGCTCCCGCACGAGCTGGCGCGATGCATGGCGCATGCAACGCGCAGCAATGCTCGCCTCGCCTCGCGCAAATGCGACCGTCCTCGCAGCCGACAGTCCACCGCCTGCTAAAGAAGCACAGCGACGAATGCGCCACCGGCGACGCACGGCAGGCTGGTCATGACGCAGTTACAGGGTGTTGTGTGCCGTCAGAGTGACTATCTGTATGTCAGGGATAGTCAGGGCCGTCCATCAGAGCTCCAGTAAGCTCGGAGACACCCCATTAGCGCGGCTCGACCTCTTTGAGTCACTGCCTTCCCGCGGTTTTGCTGTAGAGCCTCTACAACAAACTCTACAGCAAAATCGCGCTCTACATCGCTCTACAACGCACGCAGTTCGTCCCGCGCCCGATGTAGAGCTCTACAGCTCTACAGCGCTCCAGAGCGCTCTCTACAGCTCTACAGCTCTACAGCGCTCTACACTCTACATCCTCTACACCCTCCCTCAGTTCATGAGCAACTCAGTTTTAGAGATACTAATTAGAGATACTAATTTTTTCACTACTGCGGTGAGCATGTGCGGTGTGACCCTCGAGCCAACCCGACCGACCCCCCCACCTCGGTCTGCGCTCCGACCGACCGGATCCCCCCTCCGGTCTGCGGTCTTCCGCGGCCGCCGACCGCGGGACCCCCCCTGCGGTCGGTCGGTCTGCGCTGGGCGCTCAAACCGCGAAGTCGGCCTGTTCACTACCAGATGACGCTCATGTTAAACAGGCGCTTGTGAGTCTATGCTGCCGCCCTGGACATTCTGTCCTCTTGTGTGTCGCTCCAGCGTGCCGTCATCTCCTGTCCCGCGTCCACCCACACCGCGTCGGTGTCCAGTCCGAGCCTGGCGCCTTCCTACCTAGCTACCTAGCTAGTAAGTAAGTCTGCCTACCTAGTAAGTAAGTGTTAGGAAGCCGAAGCACAGACAGGCTCGGACTGGACTCCAACGCGGTATCGGCGTACGCGGGACAGAAGATGACGGCACGCTGGAGCGACACACAGA